ACCACATTATATATTTACCAAAATTACACAAGCAATTTAAAATAAGTAAATGTATGATATTTAAATACAGCAAAAAGTTATTTGCATACATTTAGTAGACACATACAAAATGTTCTCTCTCTCTCTCTATATATATATATATATATATATGTGTGTGTATATGTGTGTGTGTGTGTATATATATATATTTATTTTTTTTTTATTATTATTATTATTATTAATGTAAGTAATATAAGTAAGGGTAACAGTGTTGAACATTTAGTATGACACTAAAAATATGCATATACATATCATTTTTTTCTTAACTTTTTTTTCATTCAAACCTGTAACCAAAATTTGGGGTATTTAAATTCAGCCAAAAACCCTGATTTGTGTAATTCTGTTATTTTCTACCAACAAAAGAATATACGAAAATTAAATAATAATAATAATAATAATACAAATTTTTTAAAAAATCAATAAAATAAAGATATAAATGTACCAATAAGTACAATTGGGGAATAAACAACAGAACAATGAGTAAGAGAGTTGATAATTTAGCTTTACTTAAGATATAATTCAGTAGGTACTAGCTAGTTTAGGACCAGATGTTGGTTTTTAGTTGTTGATAAACTTTTATTACCCATAAGTTAAAGAAAAATATTTGCTTGATATATTTTTTCCCCTTAAAACTACTTGTGTAACAGGGTTGAATAAATTTATTTTTACCTCCTGCTATGCTGTAGAAACATCTTAGGTGTCTTGGGCATCACAGTTTTGCTTCAAATATGATTAATTAGAATTTTACACTTGAATTATAATATAAAACCAATTCAAAGATGATCATAATCTGCAACTGAAAAGCATAGTTTACAACTGCAAAAATCCAAACTTTAGTTTACATTCTTTCCATTCATCATTTGTTTGCCAATTTCCAGACCCTGCCTGATCCACAACCAGTTTTCCACACTCTCAACCATTCAAAGTCATCACTAAACCGCTCTCAGATCAGAAACAACCCCATCAGCGAGTCGATCCAACCATCAGCCACCACAGAAATAACAACAGTGGTGTTTTTCTGCTGTATCTGCTTGATAGGGATCTCCGGCCCTCATATCTCCCTCCACCACTCCTGACGCTGGAAACCCAAACCCCCCTTTGCATCCGTCTGTTTGCCGCAAACCAGGGATAGGGACAAAAATCCATCATTCCCACCACATCCATCCCAGAGACAGCATCATGTTCAGAGAGCAGGCTGAAACCGACACCGCCAATTAGGATTGGACAGAACACCCCGGCTGCCCTTTTCTGCCCCTCTGCACTTGCACTTCTCATTTCCCCGTCCCGCCAGCGCTGTGAGGAGAGGTGGCAGGGCGGCTGGGGAGCTGAGCTGGAGGTGAATTTCCGAGGTCACATCGAGACACTGATACCCCAATTAAAGAGGCGAAAGATCTCGTTCTGTCAAAGCACTGCCACAGGCACATCGATTCTCTACGTCAACCTCGCTCAAGCGCACATTTAACTAGATCCTTGAACTGAAGCATAATCCAAAAAAATCATTAAAATAAAAACATTATTTTTAATTGTCTGTCCTATATGTGTGTGAATATAATGTGCAAAAACAAATACAACAACAATAAAACATCAAAAATCTTCTGACTGATTATAAATGAAGTATGTTAAAAAAAAAATCAAGGACATATAATATATCCTAATATATAATTAAAAATAGACTTACATTTTAATTTTACAAATTTTAAAGGTATTACAAATATAGTAACATATTTGTTTATTTGTTAAATGTACAAAAAACACAAATAAAACATATATATATATATATGAAGCCTATTCAAACAAATCAAGGATATTAAACAATTACATTTAATAAGAATTAAATTAATGTAGGCTATATTATTGTATATTGTATAATGTATATTATTTTAAATGTTATTCTTTTCAATTATGTGTGTGTGTGATTAATTTATATATGAATATTGATTGAAACATTAAAAAATTTATATTTTGTATATTATTTTTTTCAAATTAAAACAATTTTATATTTTTTTCAAATAAAAAACAATTAAATTTATTAAAATACTACATAATATATATATATATATATATATATATATATATATATATATATATATATATATATATATATATATATATATATATATATATATGAATGCTTTAGTTTTTTTATTTAATTAATTGGAATATCTTCTGATTGATTATATATGAATAATTTTCAAACAAGTAGTGGATATTAGTAAAATAATATATTGATTAACTGATAAACTAAGAAAACTGAATTTGTATACTATGATCTTAATAAAGAGTCAAATAAACCATTTCAATATTTATTACATTAAAAATACTTATATAATCTATTCAAATAAATTATTTAAAAATATATCAAAAGTATTTAGGATACATAAAATGCTAGTTATGAATGTGGAGGAAATGTTAATGACTTCTTAAGGGGGAAAGACAACAACATTTTTGCTTTTACTAATACTGAACAAATAAAATTGTATTAAGAGCATGAAAATATGTTTTAAGAGAGTTTCTAAAAAAAGTCTGCTGTACCAAAACCACCAGAATTCAAGAAACACCCACGCACAAAAAGTCTGCATACCAAGTACAGTAACACGTACACTGTACGTTTACTCTGCAGAAATATCAAGACTAGAACAGTACACCGTAAAAAATGATTGTGATTTTAACAGTAAAAGACTGTCAAAATACTACAGTAAAAACTGGTTAACAGTAAGTTTCCATAATATATTCGGTGAATAAATGTAATTACATTTAACAGTAAAATACTGTTAAAAATACGGTTTTTGGAAGTGAAAAAGAAAAAGTCATTGTATAATTTAGTGAAAAACCGTAAATTGACACTCCCAGAATTTCCTGCATTACACGTCACAGTTTGTTTTTTTGTTGAAATAACATGTTTCTTCTTATTTTTTTCTTATCAGTTGTGTACATTAGGGTTTAATCTTACATCTAATGTTGTTAAATTAATGTTTATTGGATTATTTCAGTATCATGTGTGTCACCATGATGGGGTTTAGTGTTCGTGTGAATGACTCTGTGCACCTTCTATATAGAAGTATTGTCCTCAGCTCGTAGAGAAGCTGTTTATGATGAGACTTTCTCATCACCACCAGTTTTTGGTGGTTATCAGTGCATTACAATGGTTCAAAACAGATATTAGTACTTTAATATTTTGGTTTATTAACATTACATCAGTTAATGAAATACGGTATTTTATTGTGAATTTAAGTCAAGTCTGTAAAACCTAAAATGTTGCTACCATATTTTTTATGGTGAAGTTCTGACAATTTACGGTATTTTACCGTAAATGTCACAGTTTTTTTTTTTTACAGTGTAGCCAAGGCCACGGTGAGGCATAACTCATATACGTGTTCAGCCAGTCTTCCAGCTTTACTAGTTGTCCTCAATCATGCAGTTCTCCTCAAGAGAAACACAGATTCGTGCGCGTGAGCAGCCATGGAGTCAGCGGTCACATCAGTCAGTGCATTGATGCAGCAGCGCTGTGATGTTCACGCATGAGTTATTTATACTGCAGACAGCCAGGAATAGAACAGCCCTCCTTACCCAACCTCAATACTTACACACAGCTGACATTTATAGAGAGACACTTGATACATGTCAAAAACACGCTCACATTCATCTAATCACATCATATGTTGATTACTCTACAACTTGTTAAATGCTTAGTTCCTGGAACCATTCGAACCAACAGCTTTTCAATGAAGAGCCTGGATCTTCCTTAACCACTAGGCTACACCACCCTTACAGCATAAATCAAATCTTTGTTGATTGATTTCAAACATCCAACACGTTACAGATGATTCATATACATAATTTCCGAAACCAGACTTTAGATTTTACAAGACTTCAAAAACATGCTACAGACTGCCATATTGTGGTCACAAACGTGTGCGCATTTTTGGCAACAAGATTATGCATTTAAATACTAATAATCTTTTTTATAATAACATTATATTTTAATATAATGTAATATTTTTAATATATTAAATTATGATATTATAGTTAAATTAAAATGAACACTAAATGATTACAGCCTATAAAAAGAGTATGCATTAACATGAAATGTAATATTCAGTTGAAATATATATTTAAAAACAAACTGGTGCAAAAAAAAAAATCTGAATTAATAGAAAGTAAAATGAATATTACCTGACTATGACAAATAAATAGAAAAAAAACATCCTTTTCATTATGCATTATAACTTTTCTTCGTTTTACATTTTTGAGTATGTATTAAGATTAAATACTTGTAATATTCAGTTGAAATACTTGCATAATTAAAAGCAAATCTGTGCAAAAGATTAACTATAATAGCATTATAATAGTAAACGTAAAAGAAATATTGCATGTTTATGGCCTATAAATAGAATAAATATTTTTCCCACATTTTGCCTTTTTTGCATAGCTTTACCTTTGTCAACATATTCTTCATTTAAATGTAAATATAAATATATTAATTATACTACAATATATTACAACATAATAATTTTTTTTAATATGTAACATTCCGTTGAAATTCTTACATAATTAAAAGCAAATTGGTGCAAAAATGTGAAAGTATAGTAAAACAAATACTAAATGACTATGACCGATAAATAAAATAATAAACATTCTTCTTCATTTTGCATAATAACTTTTTTCAAGATGATACCACTTTCAGAATTAAATGTAAAAAATATAGTGCAACTACAATACTTTATAATAGTAAAAAATAATATTAAATCATAATTTACATGTTTTAAATCATAAACATTAGCATAATTAAATTAATAAATTCAGATTTAAATGTAAAAAAAAATGTTAATGACGTATTATAATACAATATAATCATTTTCTATTTGTTTTTGCATGTGCAACAACACGAAATACTTTTTATATCATGTTGAAATATTTAAAAACAAATCTTTGAGGAATAAAAAAGGAGAAAAAACCCTCACCTTTCTGTTCTCCTGCAGACTGTATGCTTATGGTCACCTTTGGTTCATCAACCTTCAGCGTTTGAACTAAAGACTCAGGGGAGATTTTAGTTCCAGCAAAAACTCCAGTGGGAAAACTGAACGCCTACATGGAAAACACATGAAGCTGAATGAAGAATGAACTCTTAAAGAGCAGGTCATCTGAGGAGAAATGACACTGGCATGTGAAAGTAGCATACGACAAACGAATAACAATCCAAACAAATATCTATACCTTTGAATTACTGTTTATACTGCTGTCAGAGGTGTTGAGTTTGGTCTCTTTTGAATCTGTTTTAATGAGCTGGATGGGCTTGATCTGTATCTTCTCCAGATTCCCCCCCAGCATGGGTTTGTTTTCGGCCTCATTTTCCAGCTTTACAGCGCCGTGGTGGAGCTTCTGCCGGGCCCGTTTAATTTTCCCCACCATCCTGTCTCGGTGTATGCGTTTTAATTTATATTGATAATATCTTAATGTTTATACACCGCGCATACATTCAGAATAAGTCCCGCACGTGTTAAAATTGACAATTTGTTTGGTGTTGCAGCTAATATTGTCCGGGTGAAAATGAAACAGAAGATGAGTTCCTTCTAGGGATGGGCGTATCGATCCAAAGTATCGATATATCGATACTAACGCGATCGATACTCAAACAAAAAAATATCTATACTAAGGTGTGTTTTATTTATTTATAATATAATTTTGTGCTAATAAACCTTTAGGTATCTGGAAAGAATTATCCCTTATTTGTTGTTGAATATTAAAATCTATTATTGGCATCACAAATAACCATGGGGGGATATCTGAATAGCAGAAGATGAGTTCCGTCAAACCCCTCCTCAGGTCGTTGAGGCTCGTCTACATTGAAAATGTTCAGTCTTCCAATCAACTTTAAACCTTAAATAAACAACACAAATTGTAACATAAAACGCATAACAGATGGCAAAAGAAGAAATTTAACTTTTAATCGACGTGGTGACTTTCCAAGAGATGTAAGTTTTCTCAAACTCTAACTTAAGAAATAACATTGGCCTGCTGTTAAAGTACATGCATTGACTTTTAAATGTACATTTTAGATTTCAGCTTGTTAGCAATTAAGGTCTACCAACCTGACAAGCACAAAAGCAACCCAAACCCCTTCTAAACCAGCATGACTATCTTAAGGCCTTTTTACACTGCTGAGTTAAAGGGGTCATATGAAGCGACTTACATTTGTTCTTTCTCTTTGGAGTGTTACAAGCTCTTGGTGCATAAAGAAGATTTAGTTGCAAAGACTAAAGTCTCAAATCCAAAGAGATATTCTTTATAAAAGTTAAGAGTCAACCACGCCTACCTAAAACGACTCGTTCTAACACGCCCCCACATGTTTACATCACTGTGGGAAGATTTGCATAACGCCGGCCAAATGTTCACGCAAAGAAAGAAGGCGTAACTTTTATTCTCGCTGTAGTATTGTTGTCACCGCTGCCATGTCGGGAAGGCGCTGTGTGCTTCGTTGTGAAAGCGAAACTACTTTGTTTGGTCTTCCAAAAGAGGACGATTTCCGCTTCGTCATGCCTAGAGCTGATCTGTGCTGGTCGCTGAGGACATACATCAACTTTGCGCTGTGGATCGCCGGATCAGCTTTCACCGTGGACGAAGCGGAGTCCAGCCCGGGGTCATCACATGTGGTTGCCACAAGCCCGCCGGACGCTCCTTCGTCGAATCCCCCGGCTGCGCCGTTCTCAAGCCCCCCACCACCGCTCACTCTAGCCCTCCGTGTGTGACGCTGTGAAAACTACTTTGTTTGGTCTTCCAAAAGAGGACACGACTAGAAATCAGTGGTTAAGTTGTATTTACAACACTGTTCTGTTGTGACTGTTTCCTGATCCTGGAAGAGTAGACTACAATGCCGGCTGTTCTGACTCACAGACTGTAAGTACGTTTTCATTTAAAGGATTTGCCACTGACGATTCAAACGCGAGTTTTGAGCAGTGTAGAGTAGCGCTTGTTTGTCATTTCTCTGATCACAAACGCAGACAAATGGTTTTATGTTTACGCGGCGCGATGCAACGCAAAGCATAAAAAGACAGTATAAGTCATTATAATTCGTAATTATGTCCCCACTGGATGTAACAAATGCCTTGTTTATAATGGGTTTTCATGTTTTTGAATCGTCGCTCCGGCCAGGCAGGGGATCAGGATATGGTGAGGGGCGGAACATTTCCGTCACACGCTTGAGGTATTCGGCCAATCACAATGCACTGGATAGCTGGCCAATCAGAGCACACCTTGCTTTTCAGAACGACAAGCTTTGTAAAAATCGAAGCGTTTCAGAAAGGTGGGGCATAGAGGAGCAACAATAATGTACAGTATGTGGAAAATAATGTGTTTTTTTAACCTCTGAGCAGCATCAAAAAGTCTGTGTAAATGCCACTTCAGAGTAAATTTCGGTATTACATTAAATTTACACTGCAAAGGTGGCACAGAAGCACTTCTGAAGTGGCATTTAGGGTCTTTACACAGTTTAATGCTGCTCAGAGGAGGCATAAGGTCATTTACACAAAAATGACAGCTGTATAATTTGATACTAGGGCATGAGGTGGGTCAGAGCATAATTTAGTCTGTTTATCATGCGGTATTGTGTCTTTGCACTGAATTTTGAGCAGTCACAGAGCAGGCTTAACTCAGCGGTGTAAAAAAAACTTTATTTTAAAGATGTAATTAATCATTTTTAGTCAGCTCTTTCTTACCAAGTAGTTTTTTCTCATTTATAAATTGGTATAAACTGGAACCTGTGTTGATAACAGAAACAGGAAGTCCTTTCAAAATGATCTTTATTCTTTGATGAATATGGCAAATAAATACATACATACATATATATATATATACACAAGCAAAATCGACAGATAGTTACTGAACAATATTACAAAAACAGTATATAGATCAAGCTCATACGAAGCTTAGAAATACAAAAATATAACACTATTGGTCCAGCAGCATACATTTGATTTAACAAATGGCTTGACATGGTTCAGAATAATCTACTTTAAGTTCTCTTCTACATGCTAGGAGCATTCAAGAGTATACAGTATGTATTTGGAAATGTATACGATGGTATACTGTATCCAGGTAGGTGGAGGTCGGAACAGATGGGGTAATTTTCATTGCCCTCCTTCTGTATCTCTCTGTAACTGAGTCTGGCCCCTGAGGTACTTCGGGGCCAAAGTAAGATTGTAATTGAGCCCTTGAGCCCATTATCTCTGTACTTCATTCCAAAGTAGCAGTTAACACATACACCACTGTAAGTACTACTGAAATGGAGTGGTACGATTAAGAAAGTAAAACTATTTCTATTGAAATATTTATAAAATACATAAAGCAAGGTGTAAAGACTTGCCATGCATGGTAAAAATAACATTTGGTGAATCTCATATGAAATATCCAGTTCACACTGAAAAATTGATTTTTGGCTTACTTTTCAGTACAAATATCAAAACATTCTTAAATCAAGATACATTTACATTTATAAGTGTTTTTTTTTTTTTGAAAAAATATCCCAAAATAAGTGAGCTTCGTTTTTGCTGAAAACAAGAAAAGCAAAAAATATCTGCCAGTTGGGCAAGAAAAATACATTTAATTCAAAGGAAACAAATATTTTTTTCTGATTATAAATTAAATTATTTTTATTTTTCCAATTTTGGTATATTTTTTCAGAAAACATGACTTAATATTTTAAGTTATTTTGCTTCTCAATGAAATGTATCTTAATTTAAGAATATTTAGATGTTTGTCCTGGAGAAGAAGACAAAACGCATTTTTTTGCTGTGCATATTTCAGCCTAAAATCTGTATTTTAGTCCTAAAAAGAAACCAAAATAGCATTGATTCCTTATGCAAATCTAATTTTCTATTTTTTCTTTTGAGTTTGAGGTTAAAATACAACCCCGGACATGTATATCACTGAAGTTATATTTAGATATAGATCCCTACAATCACACAAATCTTAATAACAATAAATAAAATAACTATAAAATGATTTGGCATACAAATTAACTAAATCTATAGCAACACAACATTACCTTAAAATTGTTAATTGTTACTTTTTAATACATTTTTACTGTACTTATTCAAATGTCAGCTTTCTGCTAACAAGTGTTGACTTGGAAGACTTGAAATAGTTTTTAGTTTCTTTTGTGCACGTGTCAGTGTAATTTAATTTAATTTAAATTGAGTCACTTTACGTTAGTTTAGTTATCCGGACATGAACAAAAAGCGAGGAAGGAGGTATGCTGGTGCCGTCCTTAGACAGGAGATGAATGTGACGATATCCTACGAGGAAGAACACAACGTGCTTAGTTTTAACATCAGCTCCCCAGAGGATACATTTTTGATGCATTTGGTGGAATGGAGACGTACCTGGTTGAATACAGGTGAAAGGGAGAGTGAACTGTCCCACAAAGTCGTTCTTTGATGTTTTATCATAGTCCTCCACGACAAACCGTACCAGCGCCAATTCAGGGACATGAATTGTGAACTGAAGCATATCGTACCATACTGGGTTAAAACCTGCAGAGACAAATAGGTAGCTGATATTAATTGTACTTGGAATATAATGGAATATTTGTACTTTTAAAATGTATTAGTTACAGGACTATTTAAATTGATTGCTCAAAAGCTAAAATGGGATTAAAACAATACAATATATAAATAATCTACATTCACCATGAACCTTAGAGAATGTCCAAAACCATTCGTTTGAAAACAAGTTTGGTTAGTCTTTCGAACGCAACTAGATCTCTGGATTAACTGCGTCTAGGCTTTCTCAGTCTAGACACAACTCTGTCCTATACGTTTTAACTGACCGTTGTTGTCAATGTATCTGGTTTCCTGCTTGGCCTGGTCCAGTGGTACGCCGTGAATTTCCACCCGAACGAGGGGATCAATGATTGAGCCTTCCTTGATGTTTACCTTGGGAAGCTGTTGGCCGCTGATTACCTGAAAAGAACACAATATATGCAGGTTTAGCATATACACATGTTATAACACCACCACACACAGAAATTCAGGTTTGTACCTGTACAGACAGGCTAAGCGGCTTGTAACCGTCTCGGTTTTGAGGGTTTTCTGGGTCAAACCGCTCATCAGTGTTGCGCATGAATGTTGGTTTCAGTACGTAGCCACAATGTCCGTTCTGACTGAATAAGCCATCGTTCAGATCCATCTCAACCCCTGCGGTCTGAAAGTTCAGAGCAACTGAGGAGAGGAGAGGAGAGGAGAGGAGAGGAGAGAAGAGAAGAGAAGAGAAGAGAAGAGAAGAGAAGAGAAGAGAAGAGAAGAGAAGAGAAGAGAAGAGAAGAAGAGAAGAGAAGGCTACACTTAGCAGTGAAAAATATTTACCACCATTTGTATTTAGTAGTAACAGATCCTGCTTAAAATAATGTCTATTGGAACAATTTCCATTTTCATGGATAAAGAATGATAATTTAGGCTGTTACACTAGTGATGTCTTGGCTTGTTAACTAACAATGCTCGTCAACTTTGAATAGTTTATATTAAACCATCGTATGATTGGTTGGTTGGTTTAAGATGGTTTAGCTGGTCTCCC